TCCCCTCAGGCTCTCTCCCCACCCCCGTTCCCATTCACCCCAGCCCTGGCCCCCGGGTGGCCCCCCCAGTACCCCGTGCCCCCTCAGGTCCACGACCTGTGCGACAACTTCTGTCACCGCTACATCACCTGCCTCAAGGGAAAGATGCCCATCGACCTGGTCATCGAGGATCGGGACGGCGGCTGCAGGGAGGATCTCGAGGATTACCCGGCCTCCTGCCCCAGCCTCCCGGACCAGGTGGGCCGGGCGGGCACCAGGCATCGCCTGCAAGCGGAGCCAGCCAGGCAGCGGGGTTACAGCATGAGAACACGCACATGCACACACACACACACAAACACACACACGCACGCACACACACACGCCTTAACCACTGAGGACACCACCATAGACTCAGCTACACCCACACAGGTTCACACACGGCCGCACAGGCTCAATTCCAGCCATTGTCACTCATGGCCAGTGACAGCCTGCACCATATACCCAGCCGCACCGTAGACCACACAGCCCGGTTGAGACACCGTCATTCTGTGTGTGTGTGTGTGTGTGTGTGTGTGTGTGAGTGTGAGTGTGTGGTACACATGCAACAACCACACGGATGGAGACTGAGCCACATGCCCCCAGATGCTGCCACACACATCAGAGACAGCGACACCTAGACCCAGACTGACCACGGGGCCTGCACACCCGCACGCACGCGCTACCTGACCGCCTGACAGTCTCCCTACAGCGGGTGTGCACACACCCCGTGCCACTCCGTCTCTGAAACAGTCGGACTGTGGTTTCATCAACAACCACACGACAGCCCAGCCATGTGGATCCCAACCAGGCCCACACCCTCAACGGTCGCCCTCTCACACACCCAGCAATTATGCAGCACGACACCTGCACCCAGGTACAGGCGTGCGGCCATGCCCCAACCGGACTTGGGTGTGCCTCACGCTAGTCACAGATGGGCCCCAGGGACCCTCTGCCACAGCCCATAGTATCCACCCACTCGGCGAGAGCCACCTGCATGTGACACTTGGCTACAGCTCACTCGGAGACACAGCCATAGTCCTCATCTTTTTTAAAAATATATATATATTTTTATTGATTTCAGAGAGGATGGGAGAGAGAGCTAGAAAAATAAAAATATCAATGATGAGAGAGAATCATTGATTGGCTGCCTCCTGCACGCCCCCCACTGGGGATCGAGCCCATAACCTGGGCACGACATTCCCACCTGGAATCGAACCATGACCTCCTGGTTCATTGGTCGATGCTCCACCACGCAGCCCAGGCCTTATTCCTTATCTTCACACAACCCCGACTCCCTCCCTCAGCAGTTACCAGCCAATATAGTCACTGAGCTGCCCACCGCGGGAGCAGGAGCCAGGACAACCACACACGGTCTCACAAATAGGACAACCTACAGCCACACACTCGATGGTAGTCAGATACAGCCCCCTGGCCATCCCCGAGAGCGACAGCCACCTCAGAACCCACTGCATGTCTCAGCTCCACCCACGCCTCAGCCACCTCCCGTCCAGCGACAACCAGGCCATGTAGGCACTCGCACTGTCACGGTCTCAGGCCAGCTTCACGCACCCCAGCGTGGAGGCTCACCCACAGCAGTGGATCGAATCCAGTGCTGGAACCGCTGCAGGGGACAGTCACGTCCACCCTGAAGCCTTCAGACCCGATGCCCCTGCAGCTCACACACAAGCCCGCTCCAGGCACCAGGCACGCAATTGCACACACAGGACGAGCCTGCGGAAGGCTTCCCTGAGCGGATGTCCTGGGCTGTACTCTGCAGGCCTCAGAGGGCGGGTCCTGTGGGGAGGGGCTGTTTATAGGCAGGTCGAGGGCCATCCATGGGGCAGGCCGGGCACCCAGGGCTCCTAGGGCTGTCTGCATCCCTCCCACACATTCCAATCTGCCTCCCAACGTTGAACTGAACGTTAAGCCGAATGACAAAGAAGTCATGGTGCCGTGTCCATGCGGGTGGCTTGGCCTCTGGGACGCGGAGCTGGGGCAGAGGGTAAGCCCAACACCTGGTCAAGTTCCTCAAGGAGTTTGGATAAAGAAAGCACAGTCCCGGACTCCGGGTCTGCAGTTCTGAGACCCCCAAGTCTCTAAACAGTGAAAGCTGTTACCGCCCACCCTCTCCCCCACCCGCTGCTCGCGCCCATAAGTTTAGTGCAAACTCATTTGGCAGCAAAATCTGACCTGAACTAATGAGAGGCTATTTATAGCCTTTATTTATTCCACCTAGTTAAATATCCATCCATTTTGCTGCAGAAATGTTAATGAGCTTGATGACGAGGTTATGCCCAGACCCCGCTGAGGGTGGCATGAAACACATGGCGTGTGCGCTGTGCGCTGACTTACTGTCTAAAAGTGTGACCAGTTCTGAATTCCGAACCACCTCCAGCCCCACGGACCACAGATAAGGTGCCATAGGTCCGTGTAAACTCATCCTTACTGAGTGGCTACTGTGCCTTCGTGTAAATTAACTCCCTGAGTTTCCACACTCTGTGAGGTGGGGACCAGGATAGTCTTCCATTATCCAGCTGGGGAAACCGAGGCACGGGGAGGGGAGGTGACCTGCCCAAGGTCACGCAGCCAGGGGAGAGGCAGGGACAGGCCTTCCTCCCAGAAGCCCCAGCCCCAGAGCCCGTCGTCTTAGCTACTGTGCGGTGACTTCCAACTCTTGTTTCCCAGAATAATTCCTGGCTTAGGGACCAGGAAGACAGCGGGTCTGTGCATCTGGGGACCCCGGGGCCGTCCAGCGGGGGCCTGGCCTCCCAGAGTGGGGACAACTCCAGTGACCCAGGTGAGAAGCTGGGGGGGGAGGGGGGCAGGTAGAAGGGAAATGTGGAGCCAGCCTGAGGACTGAAGTTAGACAGCAAGTGGGACTGCCAAGGGGGCCGGGGGTGGGGGGGAGTGTCTTGGGCAAGGGTTCTGGGCCTCCGGTTTCGCACCCTCACGTCCACAAGCACAGCACTCCCCTCCCCCCTCAGGAGACGGACTGGACACCAGCGTGGCCTCCCCCAGCTCTGGGGGGGAGGACGAGGAGCTGGACCCCGAGCGGCGGCGGAACAAGAAAAGGGGCATCTTCCCCAAGGTGGCCACGAACATCATGAGAGCCTGGTTGTTCCAGCACCTCTCGGTGAGAGCCCTCCCCCCGGGGGAGCAGGGCACAGAGACAAGGCCCGGAGACACCCAGAGACGGGAGACTGAGGCGGGGAGCATTGAGGGGGGGTGTCCAGGAGGGGGGGACTGCGCAGGAAAAAGCATCCTGTGTGCCAGGTGCTGCTCAGGGCTCTTAACTCACTCAGCCCTCCCCAACCCACCCACCCGTGCGACTGACCATCTGCCCTTCTGGCCACCCACCCATCCATCAGCCACCCGCCAGCCAGCACACTCTGTGGGGGCAGGGCTGCCTCACCTCCCTTCTGCAGAGGAGAGAGGAGCCCAGATGGACAAGGAGAGACCGAGTCACAGGGAAGGGGGAGGGGAGAGAGGCATGGAGAACGAGAAAGTGGGGCAGGGAGAGCCGTGCACAGGGCCCTGCCCGGCTCAGAGGCCGGGGCTGGGTTTTGCCTCCCTTCCCGGCAATGGAGCCCTGTCCCCAGCTCCGTCTTCCCGAATGAGAGCTGGCCAATTAGCCTCTAATTGCTGGGGGAGGCGGGGCGCCCACGGGCCTAATTGCCCGAAGCTTGGCTCTGCTTCCCTGGCGGGGCCTCGGGGAGCACGGGGAAGCTCGGACGCTCAGACGCTCGCTGGCCCTTCCGGCCCCTGCCCCAGCCGGGGCTCGCCGGCCGGCCTCGGGGACCAGCTGGTGGCCCAGCAGGCAGGGTGACTCTTGCTGGTGGCCACAGCACCCGTACCCCTCGGAGGAGCAGAAGAAACAGCTGGCGCAGGACACGGGGCTCACCATCCTGCAAGTCAACAACTGGTGAGGGGCCCCGGTGG